AGGATAGGGACTGCTCTTTTGAATTGACTGGGCAGGAATGGCCTCTATAAAGAGGTGATGCTTGATCAGTGACTTTAATTGGGGAAAGGAGTGAACCATGTGAAGATCTAGGGGAAGAGCATTCTACACAGAGGGAACAGCAAATGTAAATGACAAGTAAATGAGCCTTGGGGTGTTTGATGAACAGCAGGAATACTACTGTGGCTGAAGCAAAGCCAACAATGTTAGGAGATGAACTTGTAGAGGTCAACAGGAGCTAAAACATTTAGAGCTGTGCTGCCCAATATAATAACTATAAACTACATGTTATGTTGAACACTGAAATGTGGCTAGTTGAAGTGAATTATGCTGTAAGTATAAAATATACAGGAGCCCTGGTGGCGTGGTGGTTAAGTGCTCAGCTGCTAACTGAAAGGTAGCAGTTTGAATCCACCAGCTGCTCCACAGGAGAAAGATGTGGCAGTCTGCCTCCGTAAAGATTTACAGCCTTGGAAACCCTATGTGGCAATGACAGTGGGTTTGGTTTTGGTTTATAATGAAATTAGTTAAGTAAAACGTATTACTAAAATTAACCTGTATATTTTTACTTTTTTAAAGTGGCTACTATAAAATTTAAAATCATATATTTGGCTCACATCATATTTCTTTTCGTCAGCATTGATTTAGATGCTTAAAGTCCATTGTAACACATTTTAGTCAGTGTGGTGGTAAGACATTAGAGAGTTTTAAGCAGAGAAATGATACAAGATTTATGTTTTAAAATTAACCACTGTTCTGTGGAGAACAAACAGTATAAGGCTGAAAGTGAAAGCAAAAAAATAACCTAGGAGGCTATTGCGGTACTCCAGATAAGAAATGATAATAACATAGATAGTAAGAGCATTTGGTATAATTTTGAAGCTATAGCCAAATTGACTTTCGAACGGTTTGGATAATGGGGTGTTAGGGAGAGCGGAATCAAAGATGACTAAATTTTTAGCCTTAGCAGTTGTGTTGTACAGTGACAATGTCTACTGGCTTTTTGAGGGAATGGAGGTAGGAAAGTAGTTTTGGTTTTGATATATTATTCTTAATAAAGTAAACATACCAAAACATACAGAAATTCTAAGTGTAGCTAAGACACTTTCCCAAAGTAAGCTCACCTATGTAAGCAGCATTCAGAATAAAAAAACAGAACAAACCACTGTCCTAGTAACTCCCTTTGTGTACCCTTCCATTTACTATGTTGTCTTTTAACTCTAAATTAATGGTGATATTCATTGCAATTTCCAAGTCCCAGAAGTGTAGAATTGTTTATTGTGCTCTAGAATTGTGAAATTTGGAAAATCGCCAACAATTAGGGATTTTTTTTTCCCTACATTTTATTTATTTTATTATTGTTGTTGAGAATACACACAGCAAAACCTACACCAATTTAACAGTTTCTACATGTACAATTCAGTGACATTGATTACATTCTTCAAGTTGTTTTCAATCTTCTTTTCTGGTTTGTTCCTCTCTCATTAACATAAACTCACTGCCCGCTAAGATTCCTATCTAATCTTTCTAGTTGCTGTTGTCAATTTGATCCCATATAGATAGTTCTTAAAAGAGCATAATGCTGAAGGCAGACCTTTTTTAGTAGTGAAGCTAAACTGTTGTTCAGTTTTAAGAATATTTCAGGAGATATTTTTGGTTTAAGATTTAAAGATTATCACAGGGCAGTAGTTTCAGGGGTTCATCTACCTTCCATAACTCTAGAAAGTCTAGAGTCCATGACATTTTGATTCTTTTCTGTATTTTCCCCCTTTTGATCAGGATTCTTCTGTGGAATCTTTGATTAGAATGTTTAGTGATGGTAGCCAGGCGCCACCTAGTTCTTCTGGTGTCAGACAAAGGAGGCAGTTAGCCACACATTCCATATCCTTCTCCTATTCCTGACTCTCTTTCTTCCTCTGTTGCTCCAGGTGAGTAGGACTAATTGTTGTGCCTTGGATGGCCACTTGCAAGCTTTAAGATCCCAGGTACTACGCAGTGAACTAGGAGGTAGAACAGAAGCAGTAAACACGTTATTAGGCCAATTAACTGGGATGTCCCATGAAACCATGACACTAAATCTCCAAACCAAGGAACCAAATCCCATGAAGTGTTTGGTTACATGTAAGCAACCTCCGCAGATACTTTTTTTTTTCAGTCGTTGTAAATATATCACGTAACTTTTGCCAGTTCAGCTTTTTACAGGTGTACAATTTATTGACAGCAATAAGTGAGGTCATAACAATATTTGTCCTTTTGTGATTGGCGTGTTTCGCTCAGCATAATGTCTTCAAGCTCCATCCATTCTGTAGCATGTATCAAGAGTTCATTTCTCCTACTGGCTGAGTAGTATTCCATTGTATGTATATACCACATTTTGTTTATCCATTCATTTGTTAATGGGCATTTAGGTTTTTTCCACCTTTTGTCTGTTGAATAGTGCTGCAGTGAACATTGGTGTACGAGTCTCTTTGTGTCTACTTTCACGTCTTTTGGGTATATACCTAAGAGTGGAATTGCTTGGTCATATGGTAGTTCTATTTTTAGTTTTTTAAGGAACCGCCACACTGTTTTCCCCCAATGATTATACCATTTTGCATTCCCACCGTCACTGGATAAGGGTTCCAGTTTCCCCACATCCTCAATAATGTTCGTTTTTTCAATCTTAGCCATCCTAGTGGGAGTGAAATGGTATCTCATTGTGGTTTTGCTTTTCATCTCTTTGATGGCTAATGAGGCTGAGCATCTTTTCATGTGTTTGGTGCCCATTTGAATGTCCTCTTTGGTGATGTGTCTATTCAAGTCCTTTGCCTATTTTATGATTGCGTTTGTCTTTTTGTTGTGAAGTTGTCGAAGTTTTATATATATTTTGGTTATTAGATTCTTGTTGGATATATGGCTTCCAAAGATAGTCTACCAGTTGGTAGCTTGTCTTTTCACTTTTTTGGTGAAGTCTTTTGATAACAAAATTTTCAATTTTTATGAGGTCCCATTTAGTTATTTTGTCTTTTACTGTTTGTGCTTTTGTTACTATATTAGATAATCCATTGTGGAAAGCTAGGCCTAACTGCGTTACCCTTGCTTGTTCATCTAAGAATAGGGATTATTTTTTGAGCTTTCATAACTTTTGCCTGGCTTTCAAATTTGGAGTTTGTTTTAAATAACATAGTATATAGGAAAGTAACTGTAACTGAACAATTTTCAATGTTTTACACAGTGTTGTGTTTATGCACGTATTATAAGAATAGAAATCTCAACCTGGGACATTGTAGTTAAACAAATAGCTGTAGAAGTTTCCTTGGAGGAAAATATATAAATAAATAAACTACTTCTTCTCTTCCTCTGTCCCCCAAAATAGAGAATTTAAGAAGGCCTACAAAAATTATTTAGAAAATAAAGAATAATCATGTACTCAGTAGTAATTTTGGAGCCCTGGTGGCGCAGTGGTTAAGAGCTCAGGCTGCTAACCAAAAGGTCAGCAGTTCGAATCCACCGGCTGCTCCTTGGAAACCCTATGGGGCAGTTGTACTGTGTTCTATAGGGTTGCTATGAGTCGGAATCAACTCGACGGCAGCGGGTTTGGTTTAAGTAGTAATTTAATGTTTTTTCTTTAAGATAAGATAATTTCCTCAGATTTATGGATTTAACAGTATTCTCAATTCCAAATGTACAAGAATTTAAATTCTATAAAAGTAAAAACTAATGCAACAAACTCGGCAGGATATTAAAACTGCTAAGGCTTTTTTGCTGTTGTACTAAGGAAGCCTGTGTCTGTAGTCTACTGGAGGATTGCAAGGTATCTTTTTTGCTTTGTTTTATGGGAAAGAAAGTCCAATATCCGTTATATCTATTAGAAATATAAAATAGAGAAAGGAAGTTATGAGAAACTTGTATTTTTTTTTCTATTTTCCATGCAGTAATGTCAGAAATGAATGTACCAACCCTTGGCTGAATTTGAATACAACATAATCTATTTTTTGTATAGCTTAATCCCTAACTCACATAATCAGCATTAAACGAATGAATGCATATGATTTGTATTTTCCAAATTGTTGTTAATTTGGGGCAAGGGGCTATTGCTCCTCCTCTTGCTTTTACTGTTAGGTGTTCTGACTTGTGATTTGTGGAATATAAAATTGATAAGGGATGGTGGTGGATATATGATAAAATTGCATAGAATTAAAAACATACACACACAAATGAGTGCAGGTAAAACTGAGGAAATAGGAATAAGATAGGTGGATTGTATCAACGTGGATATCTGGTTGTGGTATTATTATACTACAGTAATGCAGAGTGTTACACTGGAGGAACCTGGGTAAAGTGTACCCTGATCTCTGTGTATTACTCTTACAACTGCATGTGAATCTGCAATTATCTCAATAGAATTTTCAGCTGATAAGAGGAGGAATCTATTCAGAATGGAGAGTATAGCTCTTTCAGAGTCTCATTGGACCTAAAATATTGTACACTATGTGCTAAACTACCAGCTTAGTTTAGGTATGATAATTTTTAGAAAGCATATACACTTCAGTTAGTCTCAGATGAAACTGTCATTTTTATTCTGTTGGTTTGGATACTGTTTATACCTCATGCCTTTGTTTCTTCACCCCACACTGTCATCCCCCACCAAGTATTATAATTCAAACATTTTAAGTCCTTAAAATAAATGTCTTATCTAAAGAATTCTGTTAAATGATAGCTATATGCTATATAGATAAAGCCATTACACAGGGTGTCTCCCTTGTTGGTCTTTTTTGTGACTACACTAGCATATCAGTTAAGGCTGATTGTGATCAGAAAGAAGTCTCATGTTATAAAACTTAATGTACTTTAACTCAGAATATAATCCTACTGTAGGTTAATTTCTTAAAAGACTCTACTTGTCTTTTTCCTGGATGATTTATTTTTGGTATTCTTTATGAATTTGAATGTTTTTCTTTTTAAAACACTATTTTAATCAAACTCTCATTTTCGTTTTCTAGGCGCAATAGAATTGGATCACTTGTCCTTGACTTCTGTCTTTCTCTATTTAAAGGTAATCTGCTTGTTGGGTTTACTAACCCTACAGACATAATTCATTTTACTGTTTGGGTTGGCAATCTATATTACTTTGTAAAATAGAAATTTAATTATATGACAGTGGCTGTATCTTTTCTCTTTTAATAAAGTCTTCTCTATTTGTCTCACAAAATGCTATCTAAAAAGAAAGTGCTAATACTCCCTGTAGTTTATTTCATGGAAGTAAATGTCAAAATTCAAACTACTTTTCTAGTTTATGTTTCACAGATTTTTTTTTCCAGAAATTTCTGAAAAATTTTTGCTGTTTTAAGTCTGTTTGCCTTTAACTTTATTTTACTCACAGATTGAAGTATCGGAGCCATGGGAATAAAGGTTCAGCGTCCTCGATGTTTTTTTGATATTGCCATTAACAATCAACCTGGTAAGAAAATTAATATTCTTGTTTTTTATACACAAACATTTAATATTTTAAAGAAGTTTAAACCAACTACTTTCTTTTTCAGCTGGAAGAGTTGTCTTTGAATTATTTTCTGATGTATGCCCTAAAACATGCGAGAACTTCCGCTGTCTTTGTACAGGTTTGTTGACATTTTCATTTGCCCTAACAGTGGTCCTATTTGATTGTAACTTCCTTTAATTTTTGATTTGCCATGTTTTACATTTCTTCATGTATATTCTTGGATTATTTCCTTCTCTTAACATGCAGATTATTCAGTATTTACTAGGACATAGAAATAATTCTTAGAAATATTAGTTCTAATAGGATTTTATCTGAGGTTGAGTCTACACTCTCCATAAAAACATGGGTGGTTTTTAAATGAATTTTTAAAAAATTCCTGAGAAGAGTGAAAATTCTGTAGTTTAAAGAAGCATATATAGCTCAAGGACATTTTTTACAGGGCAGTAGTTTGCATCATTAATTTTTTTGCTTTAATACTAATTCCTTGATTTCCTTCCTACTAAATAGCCTATTAAATTTTATTTTCTGCAGGTGAAAAGGGTACAGGGAAATCAACTCAGAAGCCATTACATTATAAAAGTTGTCTTTTTCACAGAGTTGTCAAGGATTTCATGGTTCAAGGTGGTGACTTCAGTGAAGGTAAGACTGATTCTGACAAAAGAAAGCCATTCTCGTGTGTGTGTTTGTCCATTTGCCATCATATCAGTTCTGGCTTAAGGCAGTCCCATGTGTGTTAGAGTCAGTGTTCAATGGCTGATTTTTCAGAAGTAGATCACCATTCCTTTTGAGGTGCCTCTGGGGGAACTCAAACCTCCAACCTTTCAGTTAGCAGCTGAGTGTGTTAACCTTTTGCACCACCCAGGGACTCCATATATGTAATTGTGTGTGTGTGTATAAACATGTATACATATACGCATATATTAGAGTATACCACTTGAAATGTCGGATTCAAGATGAATCATTTTTGAATCGTGATTAGACATGTTACGGTAAGTGGCTATTAGATTACACCCAATAATTTCGTATTACGAGGCTAGCTTTCATAATCATTTGACTTCATTTTCTAGGTGGTTCTTGTCTTAGAAGCATTTATTTTTCTGTCCCTCAATAATATGGTGACTGTTGAACAATCATGATTACTTTTTTTATATGAGTTCAAATTAGGACATAATGCAACTGAGGCTGAGAAACACATCATTTTGGCATTTGAAGAGGGTGTTGCTAATCAGTGAACGGTACAGCAGTGGTTTAAAAATTTTGCTCTGGAGACGAGAGCTTTCAAAATGAGCCTCAAGGGAAACCAAAGTCTGTCATAAGCGAAGACCAATTGGAAAGAATTGGTGGAAAGCAACCCTTGAACAACAGTTCAGAATCTTGCATCAGATTTGGGAGCATCTCCTACGACTGTTTCCTGCCATTTGAGTACCACCGGAGAAGTGAAAAAGGTGGACAAATGGGTTCCACATGAATTGATGGAAAATCAGAAATCACAAAGTCTAGAGATGTGCTCAGAGCTGATAGCCCACAACAAAAATGAATCTTTTTTGCAACTTATCATTACTTGTGATGAGAAATGGATACTGTTTGACAATAATAAATGATCGGGCAATGATTAGATGCAGACCAGTCTCCAGGACATTACCCAGAACAACTGCTGTATCCAAAAAAGGTTATGGTGACTATATGGTATCTGCAAAAGGGATAATTCATTATTCTTTTTTGTAACCAGGGCAGTCTATCAGTGCAAACTCATATTGTCAGGAAATTGATCATATGCATGAAAAATTGAGGTCAAAACAGCCAAGACTGATCAACAGAGATGGTCCAGTTCTGCTGCATGACAATGCACAACCACACACTTCTCAAACCATTCCTTGAAAATTAAGAGCTAGGTTATGAGATTTTGCCACATCCACCTTACTCTCCTGACATCTCTCCAATGGAGTACCACCTTTTCAAACACTTAAAACTCTCCGTATGTAATAAAGATTCACAAATCAAGAAGCTGTAGTTGAAGCATTTGAGCAGTTTACAGTCTCAAAAGATGAAGAGTTTTTTAAAAGAGGAATATATAGCTTAACATCACATTGGCACAAGATAATTGAACATAAAACAGCATATTTTGATTAAGTAAATTTGTTTCATCTCAATTTATAATGTTTTTACTTTTCCTTTGAAAAGCCGACGTTTCATGTGGTATACCCAAATATATAGTTACGTGTGTACACGTGTGTGTATATGTATATATATACTTTGTTAAGTATCATAGATTGCAAACTTAGGCAAGTCACTAGGGACTGTAGTCCAGTTTTCTTCTCTCATTTAGTCTTTGCTCAAACAATTAGAAATACTCATAAAAGTATATAAAAGAAGAGAGGGCAGACAAAAAAAAATTTACCTTTGATACATGAATTCATTTCAGAAATGTGCTTCTGGATAAAAAACAAAACACTGTATTTATCTCTTAGGAAATCAGCATATGTGTTTAATTTTGTCACAACTGGTAATCCTTTCTACAGTATAGTTTTTACCTATACTTTTTTTATTGTAAAAACATTGAAAGTGTATTTTTAAAGACACTTTAATTCCTGCTGAAAGACCTGTGTAATCATCATTAAAATGTAAAAGTTCTTTTTTCCACATATCTTAATAAGCTTTATCACGTTCTTTATCACTGTATCATAGAGAAAATAACGTTTGAGATCTTCTCAGTATTGGTATTAAATTAACATCTTAATGAGTTGCTGTGATCCTCTGCGTATTTGTTGATTCAAAATCATTTGAGTGCCTCCCTTTATAAGAAGCATTTTGTTTAGGTAGCATCTTCAAGGAGCTGACTGTCTTGAGAGTTTTAAGAGCCCATGTTTTTTATTTTTAGGAAACGGACGAGGAGGGGAATCTATTTATGGAGGATTTTTTGAAGGTAAAAATATGCATTTAAATTATATTTTTAATATTCTCTATTTTATTCATTTGATTATTCTCAATTTAATCAATAAGATTATTCATTAAATGGTACACTAATAATTCAACCACCTTAAGCTAATCTGGAGGCTTGTGAAAATTTTTATGTGATAAGCCTTTTATAGAAGTGGGAAATTTTTTTTTCCTTTGAAGTCTTTTTTTTTTTTTTAATATCTTTGGTATTCTAAAACTTGGCTATAGTTTCCCCCTAAATTTTAGTTTTTTTGGTGTAATTTTTTAAATTGATGTGAAAGAGCATTTGCCCCAAATTCTGTGAGCATGTGAATGTGGAAATACTTCAATATTTTGACATTATTCATTTTTGGGATTTGGTGAAATTTAGTATCCCTATATAATATTATTAGTATTTTTATATTATAAAATATCAAAGAATCCTATCTGAGATCTTTTTCTTGCTGTTTGGGAGTTTAATTTTTTTTAGGTGTGCTAATTAAGCAAAGAAAGTCATTTTTAGAAACCATGAAGGAAAAGTGGAAATGGAAAGAGAATTGATGTGATACTTGGGTTTTATGTATAGCAAGGGATAGAAAATTAGAAATATTTTATCCAAAAGAAGATGAGGGACCAATGACTGCCCTGACAGGGAACACAACAGAGTCCCTGATGGAGCAGGAGAAAAGTAGGGTGCAGAACTCAAATTCTAGTAAAAACACCAGACTTAATGGTCTGACTGAGAATGGAGGAACCCTAGAAGACATGGCCCCTGGGCTCTCTTTTAACCCAGAATTAAAACCATTCCCAAAGCCAACTCTTCAGACATAGAATATACTGGACTATAAGACATAAAATGATACTCGTGAAGAGTGTGCTACTTAGTTCAAGTAGATACACGAGACTAAATGGGCAGCTCCTGTCCAGAGGCGAGATGAGAAGGCAGAAAGGAATAGGAGCTGGTTGAATGGACACAGGAAATCCAGGGTGGAAAGGAGGAACATGCGGTCGGTCACATTATAGGGATAGCAACTAGGGTCACATAACAAAGTGTGTATAAATTTTTGTATGAGAAACTAACTTGAGCTGTAAACGTTCACCTAAAACACAATTAAAAAGGAGAGAAAATGGATTAACATTTGGTTCTCTCTTCTTTCGTAGCCTAACTTGGTTGTCTAAATTTTGTTAGGCTCTAAAGAACACATAAAATATGAAGAGGAGTGAAAATGAATTTTGGAGGGGGATTATGCCTGTAATGTAACTGAAACTTTGCTTCTCTGTAGATGAGAGTTTTGCTGTTAAACATAACAAAGAGTTCCTCTTGTCAATGGCCAACAGAGGGAAGGATACAAATGGTTCACAGTTCTTCATGTAAGTATTAGTCATCTGGTGGTTTAAAATAGCCCTTTTCTGCCTCCATCATTTCTCTGTATGCCTGCCATTAATCACTAATCAGTAAGGCAGGGATCAGTGAGTGGGTGGAGAATTGTTGGAGGGGGAAAGGAAAATCGTTGAAAAGGGGAAAATACTTGAAATGGGGAGCTGAACTATGCTTCTGAAAGTTTTCCTATTCTAATTACAGAAGAATTGTGGCCAAGGTTCCCGCCAACCATGCATTTTTTTTGTGTGTGTCCTATGGGGTACAGGTTTGGTCTTCTCTTCGAAAGCCTTGAACTCTCCTAATCTCAGAGGACCTTAATCTGTTGTAGTCTAGTCTGGAGAGTTCCTGACTTGTGTGGTGAGGGTAGGAAACAGGAGGACAGGAGAGGAAATCAAGATATGATAACTTACGAACCACAGAGTCCTCTACTTTGAGACCAGAAGAAAGCAGTGCAGGGTCACAATAGATGGATCCTGATAGTAGGGGAAAAATGTGGAACAGAACTTCAAATTCTCAAAGAATCCAGACTTACTGGACCCATTGAGACTGGCAGAATCCCTGAGACTATTGCCCCGAGATATTCTTTAAACCTTGAACTGAAATTATCCCCTGAAGTCACCTTTTAACTAAGTAGCAGGTTAGCTCAGGAAGTATAGAATGTCACACTTGAGTACTGTCCTCTTTTAAAAAATTATCTCTCTGAGACCAAATGTAGAGCAGTTACTCTAACTCAGATGAAAAGTTTGAAGGCAGTGAGAATAAGTTAATGGGAAGGGAATGATTACAACAGAAATAATGAGAATGTTGACAATGTGAAGAATGTAACCAATATCACTGAACGTTATGTAGAAATTGTTGAAATTTTCCCACTCACGGTATGAATGAGAATCTGTTTGCTGTGTATACTTTTACCAAAAATACAATAAAGTCTGTAAAAATGTATATATTATATTTGATGCCAGCAAAATCAAGAATATTTAACTGTGATGCCTGCCTTTGTCATCTTTTAGTTGATACTTTATCCTCTAGCATTACATTGTGAAAGTCAGAATTAGTTTTGAGGTTTATTATTTATTGTGACTAGATTACAAGCAATGCAACCATAATTGTCCTGAGAGTAACAAATACTCATCCTACGAAGAATAATATCCACTAATTAAATATTGCTTACTTGGATTAGTACTTTTTTCTGATTCATTTGAAATTTGTTAGGTTCATTTGTTTCTGATTATATTTCATTTTGTCCCCTCTCCTCTTGGTTTGTTGTTGTTTTTTAAGTTATAAACATTAATATGGTTCTAAAAGACAGAAAGAATACAAAAAAAACAAACAACTCTGCAGTGTCACTCCCATTCTCCCACTTTTTTCACCCCATCCGTGTTAATAACCAAGCTCACTACTGTCTATTTTATCCTCCTGTATTTTATTTTGCAAACATATGCAGATGCTTACCTCTTATTTCACCTTCTTTCTTACACAATAGATAACATAATTTGTATACTTTTTTGTTGTTATTCTTTTCACTTAATAATATGTCCTGGAAATCATTCCATATTGGTTCATAGAGGTCTTTCTCATTCTTTTTTTTTTTACAGCTGCATAGTACAGTACACTGTTGTGTGTGTATGTTGTAGTTTATTCAGCCAGTTGCCCATATATGGGTCTTTCCTATTTTTTCAGTTAAAAACAACTTATATTATTACATGTTTGTTGGAGAAAAATTAGAAAGCACAGATAAAGAAGAAAAACAGTCCCATTCTCAGAGCATCTGTCTTCTACCAATACCTTAGTACATAACCTTCCAAACCTATTTCTATGCAGTAAAAAATGTAGGCAGGGTGCTGCATATGCTCTATAATCAACTTTTTGATATAAATTTCCTTATACATCATTAAGTACTAATTAGCATTTTTAATGGCTATATGTTATTCCATTGTTTGACCCTACTGGGCTTTGTTTAATCCTATTTTGGACATTTGGTTTGCCTCCCTTTTTTTTTTTTTTTTTTTTTTGGTGAAACTACACATAGCCAAAGATACACCGTTTCAAAAATTTCTACACGCACAGTTCAGTGACATTGACTACGCTCTTCCAATTGTGCTGTAATTCTCACTTAAGATGAAGACTTACAGAACAAAATAGTTTCTCATTTAACCGTTACTACAAATGTTGCCCTATGACAATGGTTAACAATCTCACAACACATCAACAATATCCTTACTCAGCCTTGGGTTCCCTATCACCAGCTTCCCTGTCCTCTTCTGCCTTCTGGCCCTTGTCACTGGACCCCTGTACCTCGTTAGTCTCATTTGGTTTTACGGGGCTGTCCACTCCCAGGTTGAACAGTGAACCTCGGAGGTAGCTTCACCACTGAGCTAAAAGGGTGTCTGGGGGCTTCCCTCCCATTTTTTACTTTTTTTTAAGTGCTGTTAACAAACAGTGTTGTGCCTGTTGTTTGATGTGTTTTTAATTGTTTCTATACTATCGAGTTTCATTATTTAGTAAAATGTTTTACACATTTTTAAGCCTTTTGATATATGTTGCTGTGTTAATTTCCAAAAGGAAGTATAGTTTACCATAAGCAGTATGTAACCTCCCAGTGTCACCACATCCTTACCAAAACTGAGTATTATTATTCATTTTCCTCTCTTAAATAAAACCCTTCCTATGCTAACCAGAACCCTCTGTTAAGTTCATGTAATCCTTTATATATATCCTCAGAAACTTAATTTCTTCTTTATCTCTTTCCATTTCTATATAATCTCTTTTAAACTCTTATATACTTCTATGTTCTATTGTTTTTTGATAGGAATACCTTTAGTGTTTAGACAGCTTCAGTCTTTTGATAGAGATACTATGTAGACTTTTGCTTGATTCTTAAAAATAGCCTGTAATTCACTCACACTTTCATCATAAATAGATGGCACAGTTGGTTCTGGAATGTCAGGTCTCCTAAATTTTGATCCATCCCTTTCTTTTTACCATAGTTCTTTTTCTACCCAACTTTTCCTTTGATCAGACTGGATTCCTGCATACTTTCAGGATTAGAAGCTAAGTACTAAGAGAGCGATACAATTACACCATTTTCTTCAATATATGCAAATACCACTTTTTGGAATCCCTGTTGTGAAGATAGGGAGGAAGTTTATCATATCATTGACTATTTCTTTTCAAATCCACAGAAATTGGGTTGATTGTACTGGTAAGATTATTCTATACCAAACACATTTAGAAGTTTAATTTCTGTACGTATATGATTAAGAGCTCGGCTGCTAACGAAAAGGTCAGCAATTCAAATCTACCAGCCACTCCTTGGAAACCCTGTGGGATAGTTCTACTCTGTCCCATACAGTCGCTATGAGTCAGATTCGACTCAACGGCAACGGATTTTATACTTTGTGAACAGAACAATCAAATCAACTTAGCAGAGAGGGGAAGGGGATAGGGGTAATCAGGCACTTTAGAGTAAGGTGTGAAGAGCAAAGTTTCTTGGGAACTGTTTAACATTTTAAAAAACAACATTGGTTTGCTGATAACAGTGAGCTCTTCTAAGCAATAGAGAACTAAAGTAGTGGAGATTTACTGTACAGAACCATGTAATTTTCCAAAGAAAATAAGTTTTTAAATGAACAGGCATGAGGTTCTTTGATTAATGATCATTAATTCACGCTCTATAGGAAAGAGATAACTGTGATTTTACTTCCTAGCAGTATTGTCCTATTATATTGTCATACTAAAAAAAGACCAACAGACTATCAAACATTGTGGAGAAGTATATTATGGCAAGGGAACAGAAAAATTTATATGGCTCCTGCAGGTATCCAGTAATGAAACACTAGTTTTCATGCTGAATCTTAAAGAAGATAATACTGGATTTGGAGAAGGTCCAGAGAAGATAATGGGAAATGACTAGAATAGGAAAACCAGCAAAGAAATTTATTTTGAAGGTTATTTGTTTATGTTTTACTTTTAAAAAGGAAATATCAAAAGAATATGATCAAATACTATAAAATCAGTGACAACTTGGATGAGAAAGCTGATTTAAAATCAACAAAGCAGTTTAGAATAAATAAGAATTACAGTGTAAATTTAATCCTCAAAACAACTTCAGAGGTGGGAATTATTATCCCAATTTTACAGATAAGGAAACTGAGGCTCTGTGATGTTTAGTTACTTAAAAATGGTCATGTAGCTAGTAAATGAAAAAGCAGGAAACTCAACTCAGCTGCAAGTGGTGGCACTAGTAGGGAACAAAAGAACTTGTTACAGATTTATAAACAACTGAGCTATACAGTGGAGTCATAGCATACACATGTTTAACTTACTGAAATTCAACTATATGCAAAAAGACAAGAAAAATAGTGTGATGTACTCCACGTGCTTCGGGCAGTGAACATGTGTCATGAAAGTATGTATAAAATGAAAAATACGAATAAGCTTCTCTCAATCCCTTGTGCCTCTCGTAGTGGTGAAGCATATTGCCGCAGTGAATGTGATTTGTGTGTGTGTGTGTGTGTGTGTGTGTGTGTGTGTGAGATAAAATATATTTAACATAAAATGTGCCATTTTAACCATTTTTATGTGTACAATTCAGTGGCATTAATTAACTTTGCGGTGTTGTGTAACCATCACCACCATCTATTTCCAAAACTTTTCATCACCCTAAACAGAAACTCTGTACCTATTAAGCAGTAACTCCCCATTCTCCCCTCCCCTCAGGCCTTGGTAAATACTAATCTCTATGCATTTTCCTATTCTAGATGTTTCATGTAAATGGGATTATACAGCATTTGTCCTTTTGTGTCTGATTTATGTCACTTAGCATAATGTTTTCAAGGTTCATCCATTTTGTAGCATATATCAGAACATCGTTTCTCTTTATAGCTGAATAATAATCCATTGTATAAATATACCACATTTTGTTTGTCCATCCGTTGATGGATACCTCGAGTGTTTCCACCTTTTAGCTTTTGTGAATAATGCTACCATG